AACCTCGAATCGGTTTTATCAACACCCCCAGCCGAGAGTCGTATCGTGACAGTGCAGAATGGGAACTTGACATGTCAACCACTCGACCGCATCGCCACGAGTGCCCTTGGGTCACAGGGCAGATGTGAATTTCAAAGAAGGCTAGGCATTTTGCCATATCATATTCTTTGGTGGGATTGTCGATGAAGCAAACGTATATTTGCTATAACAATCGAATACGTTACTTATTTTTCGTGTTTGAGTAGAGTAGTAGATAAGTTTGCTCATAAACGAGGTCCAGGACGTAATTTACTCGGTGCACATGCCGCACAGTGATAAGGGAATCTGCAGCGTAAAATTAGGTTGCCACACCAAATGAGAATCAAGACCCTAGGGGCTTGCGCAGTAAGGTTGGTGTATACGCGCTATCAAAGGCTTGAGGCAGAGTGTAGAACAACGCCTTTGGTAGCACAGATACCGTGGCAGCGCTGGAGTGAAATCACTGAAACAGGCAGATAAGGGAAGGATAAACTAATGTTGAAGGATCCTACGGAGCAAGATGGGATTCTGATAGGACCCGAAGAGAGAGGATTGCAGATTAAATCGCACCGTTTGATCAACACTTCCGACAGTGGAAGAATGAGGAACACAGCGGGGAGTACGAATAGATCTCAAATAAGTCTAGATAAACAGGTAATAAATTGTGATATTGAAGGTGTGATACGAGGATATAGGATAGGTGAATAACCCAGGACAGGAGAGATACCACAACTGTTAAGCACATATTTAGTCAAAGGATCGACTTAATTTGTCTCTTTGACCAGTTGTAATGTGGTATTATGAATGGCAACGCTCACTGAAGATGTCGGTGAAATGTTTGGTAATGTACCAAGTCTACAGTCCGATTCTGGAAATTATCATGCATACTATGTACTCCGGACAATGTGGCAGGGGTCGAGTGAAATACTTGAACCAGCGAGATAGCAGACAGATCCTATAGGGCAAGAGGGAGACTCTGATAAGACCTAGTGAATGAGGTCTGCGTAGCAATATGGCAGACTCTGATCAACATTCCAAGCAAAGGGTGAAGGGGTGTGAAAACGCCAGCGTAGAGTGAATAGGGTTCTCATGAACGCCGCTCTAAAGGACACATCACACTACATTTAAATAAGCAAGGAAAAAATCGTGATAATGAAGGTGTGATATGCGGGTATAGGAAAGGTGAATATCCCAGGACAGAAGAAGAGATAACACGACTGTTTGGCACACATTTGGTCATAGGATCGGCTTTACTTGTCTCTGACGGGTTGTATTATGGTGCTAAGAATGGCAAGATTCACTGGCGATCATCTAACTACGATGCAGACGAAACGTCTATGAATGTACCACGTTCACGGTCCAACTTTGTAAATTATCATGCATACAATGGACTCCGGACTAGGTGCGTTCCTCTGAGTCTTCCTACCAATATGACCAAGTTGCGAAAACTATGTCAAATAACTAATAATTCTATTAACTTTCAGGACCATAGTTTGCTTGGTAGCGAGAAGACAATTGGTAAGAAGTTGAACCATACGCACATGTTTAAGCACCTTACATTTTATTTGAAGAGGCAAGTAGAAGAGATTCGTAAGTCAGCCTGACCGGAAGCCTTGACTGTAGATTTGTACGAATAGGTCCTTGGCGCACTTCCATGCGATCCCCATGAATCCGTGCAGAGCTTTCGTCCGTCATGTGAAGGACATCTTCAGAGCAGGACACCATGCTTAAAGATAATTCATAAAAATATGAATAAAAGAAAGGTAACCGGCTTCAAACCTTTATTTTCTTTATGTTCTGGTCTATTATCTTTAATCATGGTGTCCTGTTCTGACGATGTCCTTCACATGACCGACGAAAGCTCAGCAAGGATTCATCGGGGTCGCAAGGCTGTGCGCCGAGGAACTACCCGCACAATGCTAGAAGCACAACTCCAAGACGATCCTCCTATAGCTTCCGGTGAGGCCAACTTACAAATTCCTTCCACTCATCTCTCCAAACGAAATGAAAGTTACTCATACATTAATTTGTTAAGGGATACTTCTAAAATCAGTTTTTCTGCAATTCTGTTTGGCTTCTTGTGTTTTCTTGACAGGACATATGCATTTGTGGGCCTGGCCTCTCGTTATCAAAATGTGGCCATTTCCCACTTCAATTCTTTCTCATTTTTCACGCACGGTCGCATGTAACCCTTGAGTCTAGCTGTCGTGGTTTCTGTAGAGGCTTTAGTGATAATCTTATAGAAAGACTGCTACAGTGTGTTCTAAACGAGATGAAAAATGGGAAAATGAATAAGCTTTACCAGAAAATCGTCAAGTCTTTAAATGTGTATAATAGAATAAAAATCTGTAGAACGAAGATCGAAGACATAAAGCCATTAACCAAGGAACTAGGCCTTAAAGAAGTGGGTTGACCTCATTTTCGCAACCTGGTCTTGTTGTCAGGGTGACTAAGTTGAACGTACCTTGTCCGAAGTCCTCTGCCATAGTGTCATAATTCCGAGCATCCGAGCATGGACTTGGTACATTCTCAGACGTTTCGCTGGCATCGTAGTCGGCATCATCAGTGAGTCTTGCCATTCTCAGCACCGAGCTACAAACTCCCTAAAGAGACAAGTGAAGTCACCCGACCATCGTTCTGTCGAAACAGTTACACTATCACTCCTCTTTCTGTCTCGACCCATCTATCTACTCCTTACCTTCT